CAGGAATGCATGCAGCTGGCTTTTACCCCACAGCTGGCACCCAAAAGGTCAGGAGTAAAGAGCAAGGGCTGTGTCTTGGTCAGCTGCACAGGAGCTAGTCTGCCTGTACATGTTCTGAAAAAGCCTGCTCCTTGCCACTCACGGTGTTGTAGTCCCAGATGGTTTTCCATGACCTGAAGCCGCCCTGTTGCTCGATAGTTGCCACGCGCCATTGCCCGTTGAGGAACACAAGTTGTAACTGTCCATTAATGGTGATTTGCCTGGTGATGGATGTTGATGGCTGCTGGCCTACGACTTGCTTGACTCCATTGATGTTTGGTAACTGGAACAAAAAATTGTAGAGCGGTTTTAGACTTGCAGGTTCATCAACCCCCCCCAAAGCTTTAGAAAGAGTCTGCAGCAAGAGCAGAAACGCGGGCCCAGAGGGAGAACCTTTGGTGAGCCCCGGAGATTCCTAGGACACAGAGTTAAGGCTGTGGCACTCTGGGGGAGCCCTGGGGATTCTTTTCATGGATCCAAGGAAGGTGACTCAGGGGGGACCTTCTCACTCTGTTCAACTACCTGAAGTGAGGTTGGAGTCATCTGGGCTTTGGGCTCTTTGTTCCGGCAACCAGCAACAAGACAAGAGGGCCTGGCCTCCAGCTGCTGCAGGGGAGGTTTAGGTTGGATATCAGGAAGCACTTCCTGATGGAGAAGGTGAACAGACATTGGAAAGGACTTCCCAGGGAAGTGGTGGAGGCACCATCCCTGGGTATGTTTAAGGGAAGGCTGCATGTGGCACTTAGTGCCATGGTCTGGCTGATGTGGTGGGGTCAGGTCATGGGCTGGACCTGATGATCATAAAGGTCGTTTCCAACCTTGGTGGTTCTGTGGCCCCTGCAGGGCTCAGCCGGGGCGTGGGGCTCTCCATCCACACACAGCTGAGGGCCATGACCTACGCAGCACTGCTGGACCTGCAGGACAGGGCTGCAGGTACGTCCCACAGCAGCTCTCCCCGGGGGCCGGGGCCGAAGCCTCTCCGGAGAGAACCGGGACAGGCCGAGAAATCGAGCAGCCTCGAACTAGCCCTGGGCATTCTCTTTAAGACCTACAGACCTCGCTGC